GGCCTGTATTTATAATCAGGCTCTTGTCATTTGAATCAAAGATATAACAAAGCTCAATATTTATAAAAGTATAGTGCACTTATTCCTGGAGTTAAGCAAGATCATATTAAATGGTGTATAAACTTTAAAGCATTTATATAAGTGTTATGTATTTATCTTGCTGTATAATAGAAAAAAAAACTAATATCAAATCCATTACTTAATGCCATTACTTAATGGATACTTTTGTGGCAGAGGATGCTGGCAGTCTCATAAAATCTGTCCCACCCTCCTCCCAGCTTTCTTTGCAACCACATGATCATGTGACTAAGTTCTCAGGAATGGACCCTGGGTGGGAGTGAGGAGAGCAACCTCCAGGCCCGGCCCATGGAAACTGCCATGGCCCCTCCTCCCCACTCCTCCCCCATCCCACTGACTACAATCAATACCCATGGCAACTTTAGAAACCATGACTTAAGGAAGGCAAAGGCCTCCTTATATCAAACTATACTAAAATCTAGATCAGGGGTCAACAAACCATAGCCCAAGTGCCAAATCTGGCCCATAGTCTCTTGTGAAAATAAAGTTTTATTGATATACAGCCATGCCCATTTACTTATGTATTGTCTGTGGCTACTACCACTACAATAGAGTTGAGTAGTTGCCACAGATACCATATGGTCAGCAAAGTCTAAATATTTACTACATGGTCCTTTATAGGAAAAATTTGCTAACACCCTAGTCTAGATCTCCAAATGACCATATGAGGGACAGCCACCTTGTTAACCTGAACAACACTCTAGTACTTTACATAAGCAAAAAATAAGCCATGGAAATTCAGGTCCTACTTTCTACCATAGTTTATTCTCACCATATATTCTTCCTTAGCTATCCCAAAATGATCGCCTAATGTAGATGGGCTGAATGACAGTTGTTTGTGCATTGAAGATGACCACTTATGTCCCTGGGGAGTACAGCTTTCCCCTCTGGGACCCACATGCAGGCCAACATTTCCCCTAGATGCTCTGACTCGGTCAATCCTGGGATCGGATTGACCCCAGGAAGTCTGACCCCCTAATTACTACACAGCATCAAGAGCCTTGGAAGGTGTTAACAGAAGGTAATTTCTGCTCCATGATCTGAATGTTGAAAAGAAGACGTTCCCTGAAGCTCATGGAAAAGGCTGCAGTGATGAAGACCTTCGTCAAAGCCAGTGCTTTGTCACCTAACTGGTGGCCATGATGGTGGTCAAGGTAGTCACTTTTTATATCAGTCATTGACCATCAATGGTTCAGGTTTCCCATTTAGTGACTTCTTTTTGGTTATACACTTTTTAAACCAGATGTGTTATTACTCAAAATTTCATTATTTACTTTTTATTTTTACCCTCATTTTAATTTTAAAAAGTACAATGACACATTGTTCATGCTTACCTTTATTTCATGGCAAGTTCTCCAGGTCTTCCACTCATGGAAATGATATAAAATCTCCTTTTTCAATGAGTGTGTAAAAGTAAAAAGAGTTAACCATTTTTTAAAAAAACTGCTAATATAGTTGGCATGCTAATATGGCAAAAAAAAAATGTGAAATCAGTATGAGAATAACTAAAGTTTGAGAAACACTGCTTATGTCTGGGGTGCATTGGAAAGTGTCGTAATTCCACATTCATAGAGTGGGGTCCATGGTGAATCGTGCATGAGAGAGACCTCACCCAGAGCTACCCCTCTCTCCTAACCCCTCTCTTTCTAGAAATGATCCCCAAACGTCTATCCAATTCCTTAGGAGTTACGGCCAGTTCCCAGGGTTTTAATCTCCACATCATTCACTTCCACAAGGGAGACCTTAGGGTAGGGCAATAGCCTCAGTCGACTGCCGCTTAAAAAAGAGATGTACTGCTGACAGCTAAAGTGACACAGGGAATTATACACTTTTGCAAAGCTGAGATCTGGCATGGGCTTAATAGACTCCAGCTTGGAGTCATCCTGAGCCAGCAATGGGATACAGAGGCTACAGCCAAGTGCGGGGAAGGACTAGGAGTGGCCACCTCTGTGCAGAATTGGTGGGTATATGATTAAACAGTGGATTGGGAGAATAATTCCTCCTTATCTTCAATATTTTGCTAACACAGCACCTTAAAGTCTTCATAGTCCAAGGGCTAGGGCTGTTTCCCAGGTTATGAAGGCCAGCTGGCTAGGCCGCAAGGCAGGGTGGTTAACAGGTGTGCATGTGTGCATTGTGCCACAGGAGTGGAAACTTGGTGGTCTAATGAGGAAACTGTCCCATGTGGTAGAGATTTCATTAGGGTGCAATTTATTATCTTTGTTTCTTTCCCCATAAAAGTAAAGAAGGAAGAACCTTGCACAAGTCAGGCTTTGTAGAGTGAGTCACCTCTGGGACTGATTCTAATGCTATCCTAAGCCCTACCCCACCACAGGGCCCCAGCCTGTCACCAGACTGCCTCATGGCTAGAATGAGTGCTGATGAGTATCCTCTCTCTTTGAATTTGGGTCTCTAGATGCTTCATTTCACTTACAACCTCCAGCTTGGCAAGTATCCATAGACATCTCTAGGTTGTCACGTGCTTTATGGCTTCTGGTTACCCAATCCTTCCTGGTGTCAGTATTGGTCAGCCCAAGCTTTCCAAATGACAGTGGAAATAAACACAGCTCTCCAGGCACCACCCTCCCCTCTGGCCTTTTCTAACCCTCCACCTACCACCTCACCCTGGACCAATGAACTGGCAATGCCACTGTGGACAAGATCAAGGTGTTTCATCCTGGGATAAGGTCAGCAGTGAGAACACTGCCCCAGTGTGTCAAAGCAAGAGAAATGGCTGCCGTCCATTTCATCCATGACGTGGCAGAAGTCAAAGCCTCCTTTCTGGTCCTGACTTTGCCATCGAGTTGCTGTGTGAGCTGAGGCAGCCCTTCCAGCTCTGGCCTTGGTCCTCCTGGACATGAAGAAAGTTGGGACTACAGATTCATTGGCTGAGGCTGTCAGAGTGAAATATCACAGACTGGGTGATTTAAACATGATAAATTAGTTTTCTCCCAGTTCTGGAGGCTGGAAGTCCAAGTTCAAGGTGATGGCAGGATCACTTGAACTCCTCTGAATCCTTCCTCTCTTGTTTCCAACCTCTGTCGCCCTCTGAGTAGCTCGCACACCAGCCATCTCCCCATCCTTCTGCAGCCTGGAGGACGCAGAGGGACCAGCAGGAAGGCAGGGGCACTGTGCAGGGTTGAGGCAGAGGAGAAGCCAGAAGAGAGAGAGAGGCTGCACAAGATTCCTCCCAGGCCATCAAGCATGTGCTTGGACAACAACAAAATTGAGTTCTCAATATTTTTGACACAAAAAGCAGAGTGCTTAATAATATGGGCTGTGCAGCCACACAAACTGGGTTAGTCATCAGCCTTCTCTTATTTCATGTGCGATTTTAGGCCAGGTCCTTAACCACACTGAGCTTCAAGAGATGCTAGTATGGATTTCACAGAGTAGTTTTGAGAATTGGGATCCTGCAGACGAAACTCTCAGCCCCATGCCTGCCACGTGTGGTATTGTCAAGTGAGTGTGAAACTGCCTTCATACAAATCGATAACAGGGTACAAGGTGAGAACTGTGGTAAGGGCCTAGCTAACAATAATGATAATAATTAGTCGCTGTTCCAATTTGCTTCTCTATAATTGCCACTCTGGAGCCATGCAACTGGTGATCATAAAGAGCCTTAAGTTTCTCCATAGGTAACATCGCCTTTTTGAAACCCAAAGGTAGTTTTAAGGTATCTTCCAGGCCCAGCATCCCACTGGATTGGATGACCCACCAAGAGCAATGGCCCCTCCCAAGAAACCATCTCAGCTGGAATTGTGAACCCAGGGACGAAAACAGCACAAGAAGATAATTCTTACACCCCTATAGTTTTGCCCCAATTAACAAACCTAATTGCCTAATCCTTTGCCTGCCAAACTACCCTTAGAAACATTGCCTCTCAAATTCTCAGGGAGGCAGATTTGAGAAACTTTCTCCCATCTTCCCATTTAGAGCTAGCAGAATAAAACTCTTTCTCCATTGCAACCCTTACTATCTCAGTACATCGGCTCTTCTCTGTCCAGTGGGCAAATGAACCTGGTTGGGTAGCAAAAATGTATGAATGAATAAATAGGGAAGATACAAATAAGTAAACACAATATTACAGCCAGGAAATGCTTATTGTGCTACTAATTTTATATACATACACAACCTTACAGACTTTCCTATACAAATAAAAATATATGTTATTGCTAAAATGTGATCATATTATATGTAACTGGATTTTAAAAAATGTTTCTTTAGTGAAATATAATTCACCTGCCACAAAATTCATTTTTTTTGTAAACAAAATTTATTCTTTAATGTACAAAAGGCTCCAAGATAGCACTTCATTTTAACTATAGGTGGCAGAAGGTGTCATGGCAGGGAATACAGATGTTTAAATAGGAACCAAAGGTCGCCAGAGCCTCCGGCACAAGGAACAGCTTGCTTTACACCAGATGTTTTAATTCTTCTTGTGGCCAGGGGGTCCTTCCCTGCAGACTTCACTTTAGCTCCTCCAGTTTCCTCTGCTCCTCTTTTTGCTTCTGCTTGAACACCCTATTTCCTCATGCATCTTCCTGGCCTGCTTCATGGGCTGTTGTAGGGGCTGCCTCTTGCCACCTTCGTGGCCAGATATAGCACTGCCTCCCCTTCCCCAGATTCTGCCAAAAATCCAGCTTTTTAAAGTGTAGAGTTCAGGGGCTTTTAGTATATTCACAAAGTTGTGCAAATATCACCACCATCTAATCCCAGAACATTTTTACCACCCCAAAAAGAAACCTGATGCCCATTAGCAGCCACTCTTCGTCCCCCTCATTTCCCTCTTCCCCTGGCAGCCACTAATCTACTCTCTGCATGGACTTGTTTATCCTAGAAATTTCTTGTGATAAACGATCACCCAATATGTATCTTTTGTGCCTGGCTTCTTTCACTTAACATAATGTTTATAGGTTTTATCCATATTGTGGCATGTTCTTTTTATGGCTAAATAGCATTTCACTCTGTGGATAGACCTCATTTTATTTATGCACTCATCAGTTGATGGGCATTTGGGTTAGTCCTCTTTTGGATATTATGAATAATAGTACTATTTGAGTATGAGTTTTTGCGTGAACACATTTTCAAGTTTCTTGAGAATCTACCTAGGAGTGGAATTGCCGGGTCATGCGGTAACTCTGTGCTTAAGTTTTCCAGGAACTGCGAAACTGTTTCCCAAAGCAGGCTCAACAGTTTTATCACCTGTTTATGCCCCTTGCACAGTAGATTACGACTGTCTTTCCTTGTCGTAATGTATAGACATGTGCATCACTAGTTTGAGTGAGTATATAATATTTCCTTGGCCAGGTACCAGAGTGTGCTTAACAAATTCCCTGTTGATGGGCATTTGATGATCCTCTGGAAGAGGCTTTAAGTGTCTCCCTTTTGTCCCCAGCAGTTTGTAAATGGCACTTTACAGAGAACTTTGTATCCCCTAATTTGGTGCTTTCACATGCCTTGCAAGCCGCCCCCCCCCATATCTGTCTTGCTACTAATGGTGAGCTCCTTGATAAGATGAACCATGTCTTGAGTTTACCTGTGTGTCCATAACACCCAGCCAAGTACCAGGCATTGTGGTAAATGTTCAAAGAATGAATGATACATGGATGGATGGGTGGTTATAGCCAGGGACTGTGGACAGATGGATTTTTGCCTTCTGTCTAAAAATCCCTGATTTGAGCGGTAGTGAGTTCCCTGACCCTGGAGGTATGTGACAGGAGGCTGGGCCAGTTGGCAGTAACCATTGTAAAGCAAGTTTAGGCATCAGAAAGGAGACTGGATGGAATTTAAAATCGCTTCTAAAGTCGAGAGCCTAGAACTCTATGAAATAGAAGCCCAGGGAAGCTAAGAGATGTGTCCTAAGTTGCCCAGGTGAGCAGTTGTGGGGCTGTGAGTTGCTGTGCATATTTCTGAGCCTGTTCTGGGGACCCTGCTCCCCCTTGCCTAAAGGCATCTGCCTGCTTGTGCCTGGCCTTTGGGAAGCTCCCAGCCCAGGAAGGTTAGAGACCCACAAGGGAGAAACTCTTCTGTAACAAGTTGCTTGGCAAGTTTGTGGCTACCTGAATCAGAGAGTTCAGTCTGGACTATTTACATAAAAGGGCTGAACTCCGGGTGGGTGCGGCTGGGAGGTTCCAATAAAAGTCCAGGGAGATATTTGGTAGTGGAGAGAGCTTCTCTCTTATCCCTGCTTAGATCCTTGGCTGGGTGGAGGCAACTCCAGGGCCGGGCTAGGCTCTGGGGCGGGAAGGCGCATCCTCTCGGCACAGCACCTAGACGCGGACAGCTCACAGATCCTGGGAGCTGCTGCAGTTCCACGATGTGGCTCTATGCTCTGTTCCTGGCAACTCTTGCCACTTCCAAGGCTTGGGGTGAGTTCCTCTTTAATACAAATACCAGGGGTGCATTTGGGAATCCTTGTCCTGGGGCGAGGTGAGCAGAGGTGCGTACAAGGAAAAGGCACGACAGGGCTGGGTGTGCGGAGGTGCGCGCCTCTGGACCTGGACTTAGACTTGGAGCGGTGGAGACCAGCCAGCCCCGGCCAGTGCTGAGAGGCAGAGGAGGAGAGTCACCCTGAGCCGGCAGCTGCACCGCATGTGCCACAGGCAGGGGGCTGGTGGCTAATGAGGAATTTGGAGCTCAGCTTCATTTCCCTTGATTACTATTCTAGATCCAGGCTGGATCACGGAGTAGCACAGAGGAATATCGAAAGCAAAGACTCCGCAGCCAGAGTGCCTGGGTTTGAATCGTGGCTCAGCACTTCCTAGCTGCGTGTCTCTGGGCAAGGTGCTTAGCTTTCCTGTGCTTCGGTTACCCCATCTCTGAAACAGGGGTGCTGACACTCCCACTGCATCGGGCCGTTGTGGGGATGGCATGGGTTGTTTCTAGAGCACTTAGGACAGTGCCTGGCATAGAGGAAGTGCAGGGAAGGGTTGGATAAATGAAGTAGTTGTTTATAAATGTGGCGAATAAATAGAGTATTTGAGGTTTGGTCAGGGCAATGTATCAGAAGCCAGTTGCCACAGAAAAGATAGTATGTCACAGTTCCCAGGAGGAGGGGTGCACACTGGGGAGGGCCGGGGCGGGGTACAAGGGGAAGCACCAGAATAGTCAAGAGGGTTGGGAGGTGGGCAAGGGCTTTTATTGTGGTTTCCCTGGAAGAGAGAGCAGGCTTAGCACTGGCTACTGAGTAATTTCAGGGGGTTTGGGGGCACAGGGCTGTCCCTAGATGTCTGGTACTGGCTCTGGGGTGACTAGGGCAGGTGGATGGTGGCCCAGGGCGTGGGAACCTATCAAGGAGGTGGTTGGCGTGTGGGCTCTGGGACGGTTGGACCCGGGAGGGACAGTGCCTCCAGAACCAGCAAGGCCTCAGTGGCAACGCTGAGAGTAAAGACAGTGGCAGACTTGGGAAATGCAGGGGGCAGAGAGGGACCTCGAGCTACATCTGTGCCATTTTGTAGATGGAGACGCTGAGACTCCCAAAGCAGAATGCACTTGACCAAGGTCTCCTGGGTAACCACGCCCTGGTCTATGTCTGGCTCCTGCGTCCGGAGCCAGGGGTCCCCCCATCAGCCCTGACAGCCCAGGCCCTGTCTGGGTTCTGTCTTCTTTTTGGCAGGGAAACTCTGTGAGAGACAGGCCTGGAACTGCATGTAAGGGCAGTGTGAAAGGAACCAAATGTGGACTGGACTATCCCTTCACCTCTGGTTACCCCTGGCAACGCCATCCATTTCCATCTTTAGCAAGTCCTTGCAGGCTACTCCAATTCCTTGGTTTCCTCATCTGTAAAATGGGCATGTCGATGCCTACCTAGCAAGGCTTTCTAGGATTAACTTAAAGGAACTGGAATGTATGCCTGGTATGTAGCAAGTGCCCACTATGTACACACTACATGTAACATCAAGTGAAACTGCTCTTGTTCCTGTCTTTGCTTGTGCCTCCCACACATGCACCCACTTCTTCACCCTTGGCATTCTGGCTTCTGGCCACTTCATCCATGCTGAAAGTTGTCACACAGCTCGAAAACCCAGGCCCAGTGCTGTCCTCTCTGCTTTTACCCTCCTCCTCTCTCCTGGGCTTCCACGATGCCCTGACATTCTCCTGGTCCTGCTCTGACATATTCCCAGTGTCAACTGTAGCTGTCCTTGAGCTTTCTCTTTAGTTCTTTCTCTTCTATCTCACTCTGGCCTCTTGAATGAAGTCACCGCATTCATGGTGCTCACCTCACCCTCTGGTGGATGGTCCTCACCCGACCTGCTTCCAGTCTTAAAGTGCCCACACCCTGTGGGATCTCTGCCAGGATGTCTCCCTGACACCTAAACTGAAAATGTCTGAATTGAGGCCAGCTTCACACGCAGCTTCTTCATCTCTTTCCCTCTCACGTCCCCCACATCTGCTCAGGGATCAAGTCCTTCAAAATCCTGTACAGATGTTGCCATATTTCTTCATATAATTTGTCTTTTAATTATGAACCGGCATCTGTGCTCAGTGCAGAAAACTTGGAAATTGCAAAGAAAACAAATTGCAAAGTCGCCTGCAAGGCCACCCCATTGCCACGTCAATTCCAGCCTTCCAAGGAAGTTCATCTCAGCGTTATTTGTAATAATTAGCAATAAAAACAAAAGAAAACAACCTAAATGTCCACAGTATAGGATCAGCTATTAATAACATGAGACAGAGATACTGTTTTGTAACCATAAGGAGTTTTTGCATAAAGAGTTTCTGAATTCATTGGATATTCTCCTATGAGACTTATTCTTTTCTCTTCTGGCCACACACACTGAAAGACAAATTGAATGTTTGTAACCAAAGTACCTCAACAGGGAGGACAAGAGGCTGGAAACAATTTCCTGGGAAGGATGCTTAGAGAAATCAAGATCACTGAGGCCAGGCAGGACTGGGGTGGGGGGGTGGCATGATCAAGCATCTGAAAGGCCACCTGCCCCTAGATCACATTAGGTCAGCTTGGTCCCCTGGCAGGTGGAACTAGGGATGACACGGAAGCTGCAGGGACATGGACGTCAGCTCAGGGGGAAGAATCGTCTGCTCTGCAGAGTGGAGCGGCCAGGACTCTGCCCCCGTCTCTCTCCTCTGCATGTCCCACTCTGAGCCACGGCAGAGTCCTCCTCAAGCTTATGTGCCTTCCTCTAGAACACCTCCCGCTGCTTACTTTTCTATGAAATAAAACCTCAGCCCTTAGCCTGGCATTCTAGTCCCTCTGTGACCTTATTCTCTCATCCCAGGGTCATTTTCCTCTCCCCGTAGCCTCCACCTGGTGCCCTCAGGCCACTTGCCCTGCCCAGGGAAGGCTGTGCATCTTGCTGTCTCTGAGCCTCAGCACATTCTCTCCTCTCTGCTTCACACCACTCCCTGCCTTCATCTCCCCTCATTCAGCCCCTCCTGCTGCAGGTCCCAGCGCCTCCACGTGCCACCAGTCAGATGGCCTCGCCCCTCTTCTACCTCCTGAAGCAGCTGACAGGTCCCTCTCCCAGGACACCACCACTTTCTTCCCGGATTTGAGGTCAAGTGTGTATGTGGCTCATTCTCCCTGTGAGGTTCATTGGTCCTGGACCAGGGGCCACCTCCTGTTCACCTGTCACCCTGTATGCGGCCAGTGCAGGATGTAATAGATAAATGTTCCAGAGGCTTCTCAGAGGGAGACCAAGTGACCTGTTCTTCCCAGCGGTTCTCTTTCTTGCATTTGTTTTTCATTCCATGTTTTTCCACCTCCTGTTCCAATTTGCTCCTTAAAACAGCTCTGTGAGTTAGGAAGGACAGTGACCCTCACCCCTTTTTCACATTGGGAGAAACTGAGGCCTGAGGGCTTAGGTGACTTATTCAATGTCACACGCCTAGAAAGTGGCAACCCCCACCGGAAACCCCTCCAGGTCCAGCCTTGCAGCTGCGACGTGTCCTCATTTCCTCTCACTGTCCAGCAGGTCACCGTCCTCCGCCGCCTGTGGTGGCCACCGTGCATGGCAAAGTCCGGGGGAAGCACGTCCACCTGGAAGGATTCACACGGCCTATGGCTGTGTTCCTGGGAGTGCCCTTTGCCAAGCCCCCGCTCGGATCCCTGAGGTTTGCTCCACCGCAGCCTGCAGAGCCGTGGCACTTTGTGAAGAACACCACCTCCTACCCGCCCATGTAAGCCTGTGGTTGGCGTTGGCACTGTCAGTGGGGAGTTTGCCCCAAAGTGATGCAGGACGGAGTCCCGCAACCCCTGATCGGTTTGTACTTTGCTCTAGAATCTTTAAGAACACTGTAGAACCTTAAGAACGTCCAGAACTCTCAGAATATTCCAGAATATTTTATTCAACACATATTTATTGAGCACCTACTGGGTGCCAGGCATGTTCCAGGTTCTTGGCATCCATCAATGAACAAAACTAAGATCCCTAGTTTCATGGAGCTTGCATTATAGCACAGTGAGACAGACAATAAGCATATGCAAATTAGTAAATGAATAGTGTGATATGTTAGAAGGTGGTAAGTGCTCTGGACAAAAAGCAGTTGAGCAGGTGATCAGAAGTAATGATCCTATTAATTCTTCTGACTTGCACTTTAACAGCAGCTGGGGGTGGGGTGCATGCGGAGGTGTGTGGGTGGGGAGTGTACTGGGGTGTGGACTTGGCGACCTCTCAGCACCCAAGTGTGTCTGGCCACCTATTCCGGAACAGAGCAATGGTTGGTCGCCCTGCCTGCCTGGGCAGTTGGGCTCACAGCTCCCCTGCCCAGGGCACCAGGGACACCTGCATGCGTCAACCCAGGCATTACTCATGTCCTCAGCAAGGCGTTTCTAATAATTTCTGGGATCCCACTTCTGGCTAAGTTCTTTCCTTTCCTTTCTCTTAGAAATAATATTCCTGTTTTTATTTTCTGATTGTAAATTTGACATACTTCTTATAGGCAATTAAGAAAGTACAAAGCAGGAAGAGTAAGAAATTAAAATCATGGTCAATTCCACCACTCAGAGAGAATTGCTGTTAATATTTTAGATGGTGTTTCTCTAGTCGTTTATCTGTTGCATATTTTTCCCTTGAAAATGGCATCCTCTATATAGGTAGCTGGGATGCCCGCTTTTCTCATTCATAGGTACATCAGGAACATCATTCCATGGGATTAAATCACATAATATGACATTTAATAGCTGCATTACATTGAATATTGAACCATAATTAATTTATCCAGTCTCTTATTTGGTGTCATTAAGTTGTTTTTTGATATTTTGATAATATAAGTAGTATTGTGATGAACATCCTATATCTAAACCTTTATGTACATTCATCAATATTTTAGAAGAAATTTCAAAAAAAATGATGTTTCCGAGTGAAAAGTGTGCACCTTTTGTTAAATTTCCTCCACAAATGTTTTAACTATACTCCTTCCTTTCATATATGAAAATCTCCATTCACCAGGTTCGAGCCAATGTTTAGGGTTAGTTTTTTGGTTTTTGATATTTTGCTCTTTATTTTGCATTTATCTGAATACTAGTGACAATGAATTTTTTTTCTCTTTTTTGACATTTGAATTTCTTTTTTTTTATGGGTATCCTGCCCCTTGTTCTTGGTGATGTGGGGAAAAATTTCCCCAGGTGGAAATCAGGAAGTCATCTTTGCTGACTCTGATTTTGCCATTTGACAGCTGCATCATTCCTGGCATCTGAGTGCCTCAGTCCTCGTACATACAGTGGCGACTGCAATGCCTGCCTTCTGGGTACATTGAGATCTGGGAATGTTACTTATAATTTATGTGGAAATACAAGCACTGCATAGCATGGGTCTCTTGGTTAGGTGACCTTGGGCAGGTTCTCTAACTTCTCTGTGCCTTGGTTTTCTCATCTATAAAATTGGGATAATAATAGAACCTATAATAGATTCATGGGGCCCATCTGAGGCTTAAACGAGATGGTACAGAAAGAGTACTTAAAACAGCATCTAGCACACGTGGAAGACTCAATGAATATTACTAATTTTCATCTACGTTGAATCTTTGAGATCTTTCACGAGGGCAACCAACAGCTCTTGCCTGGGATGAGTTGATAATAGAACCCTGGCATGTCAGAACTGCAGGAACCTTCTAGAAATCACTCCCCTCACTTACACCAGGCAGATTATGGCCCAGAGCAGGAAAGGAATTCACCCAACGTTACTCAGCAAATGAGTGGCTGAGGCAGGACTAGAATGCAGATGTTGTCCCACAAATATTGCACCCCTGACCTGTTGGAGACCCTAAATATTTGTCTGCCACTTGAGTGACTTCTCATGGTGTATGGAAGTCTTCCATGGACTGGAACATGTTTACCTGGTGGAGGAACAGGGTCACCCTGCACCCACCATCTAGCGCCCCACAGACAGTGGGAAATGTCACCTCCTGGGGAAGGTCAGCATCTCTGCAGTCTCCTCTCCTTGAGCCAGGGCATCCCAAAGCCCCGGGAAGGGGAGAGGTGCCAAGCCCATCTCACTCTGCTTGGCCTTGAGAGGCCTTAGCGAGTCCTGGGGCCCCACCTGGACCCCAGATGCCTCTTTCCCATTCCAGAGTCTTTGGCCTGGCAATGGCAAGTCCAATTACAGGCTCCTGGTCCAGCCCCTGGAGACACCTTGCTCGGGTCTGGTTGAACCTCAGGGGTTCTTCTTTCTCCCCTCCCCAGGTGCCTCCAGGACCCAGTGGAAGGGCAGATGCTCTCCAACCTCCTTACCAACAGAAAGGAGAACATTACTGTCAAGTTGTCCGAAGACTGTCTTTACCTGAATATTTACACTCCTGCTGACTTGAGGAAGAACAGCAGGCTGCCGGTAAGCCGTGGGAACCCCTAGCCCAGACGTGCTGATTCCACTATCACGGGGTCTTCTGGTGCAGATGGGAAGGGGGTGAAGACAGCTGGGGAGGGGGCAGCCCAGGCCAGGACTGCTCAGGGGCCGCAGGCTCACACGGGAAACACAAGTTTCCACATGTCAGTTCCCCTAGTGACATGGACCCACTGGAGGAGTTTGCTGCACATCTGTAACACACATCTTAATTGTCCCGAGTTCCCTCATGCTAACTGAAGGGTGGCAGTGAGTACTCTTAGTTGCTGGCATAAGAATCTGTTACCCAGAACGGTTGAGACATAATTTTCAATAGTGTTAGAGCTGGAAAGAATCACAGAGAAAAGCCAACAACCCAGCTCTTCCTTTACAGATAGAGAAACTGAGGCCCAGATGTGGGAAGGGGAGGTCACACAGTAGAGTTGGTTCAGGTCTTTTGATCCTCAAACTAGTGATCTTTGACATGGAGTAGGACATCAAGGCATGTGGGTTGCAGGGAGCACACTGAGATCCATCTGTGACAATTTTCACTGTCCTATGACAAATGTGTGGGGGCCGGGTCTGGGGCCACCCAAGAGGCAGTTTCTTTTGCCTTTGGCAATTCTCTGGGATTTTACTGTGGCTAATTTTCCACCCTAATAGTCTTTGGCACAGGCTGGTGACCCTGTGAGGCAGCATATCCCAAATAATGAAGGGCTAGAGATGGGCAGGCTGCCAGCTGCAGGCTGGATGGTGGGGGAGGGGAAGTTCTGCTGAAAAGGAGATGATGGCAGGGGTGGACAAGGGAAGGTGTCAGCACTCAGCCAGTGTCCCAGGAGCACCCTGGCACGGTGCTGGGAGTGGGGAAGGAGGTCTGTGAACTTAGGACATGTTGGCCCCACATGTGGTTTGTAAGGCACAAGGAAGTGGGGACACAGGCTCACTCCCTCCCTCATTCGTCTGCTCTTCTGTTATGTACTCAATACCCACTGTGTGTGGCCACCCACCTGGGTTCATTTCCTGCTGCACAGAGAGGAGCCAGTGTACTGAGACAGTCGGGGGTGCAATGGACAGAGTGTTTTATTCCACATAGTGAAAGTGCTGAACAGGGTGACAGGAGAAATTTCTCAAATCTGCCTCCCCAAGAATTTGGGAGATGGGTTTTTAAGGATAGTTTGGCAGGCCAGGGATTAGGCAATTAGGTTTGTTAACTGGGGCAAAATTATAGGGGTGTAAGAATTGCCTTCTTGTGCTGTTTCGGTCCCTGGGGTCACAATTCCAGTTGAGTTGGTTTCTGGGCCGCTGGTCTGCGTGGGTCAGTCAAGCCACTGCCATGTGGAGACAAAGATACCTTAAAAACTACCTTTAGGTTTCAAAAAGGGATGTTATCTATGGAGAAAGTTAAGAATTGTTATGGACACGAGCTGGGTGGCTCTGGAGTGGCAGTCACAGAGAAGCAAACAGGGGGACAGAGACTAATTATTGTCATTATTGTTAGCGAGGTCCTTACCATAGCTCTCGACCTGCACCCCACTACTGACTTGTGTGAAGGGCGCTTTCATACGCAAGGTTAGACTTGGGGTTCGGGGAAGGAGGAACATGAAACCACTTCTAGCAGCCCCGCCCTCAGGGATCCTGCGCTCGGGCTGCACAGACACACGCTGACTTCAGCATGTTACCGCAGCCCAGCCCGTGGGCTCAGCTGTCACTCAAAGATGACAGTAACCTCAGCCCGTCCCCAGGAGGCAGGGATCAGACAAACAGGGACTCTGGGAGCTGCAGGCAGAAGAACCTCTAGTACGGACACGGGTTCCAGAACTGCAGGGTCTGGGTTTGAATCCTGCTTCTGCCTTTGACTAGCTGAGAGATGTCAGCGATTTCTTAACTTCTCTGATCCTCTGTTTCCTGGAAATGGGGGGCATCAGGTGTGAGTGCTCCGTGCTCACTGCCCAGCTTTGTCTCCGCCCCTGGATAAACGTGAAAAGCAAGGGCTTGTGACACCTTAGAGGGGAAGGGGGGATCTTACCCCACCTGACAGCAGACCTGCTGTGCTGTGGCCACTGGCTGCAGTGTGCTGGGCAGCTCAGCACCTGGACATGGAACCAACTGTGTGGGTTCCAGTCCTGCTTCTACCACTGGGCTGTGTGACCTTGGGCAGGTTAGGTGCCTCAGTTTTCCAACCCGTCAAACAGTACAACATTGGTATCTACCTCATGGATGGTTTATTTTAAAGTGCTTAGACAGTACATGGTACATAGTTCATATTATAAGTTTTTTAAATTAACTGTTATTATATTATTATTAATATAGTATATTAATATTTATTTTAGCCCCTCCCACTGCTTACCTGCTCTTTAAATGTGAGAACCATGAATTGTGAATCATTGTGTCCACTCTTGTCATCAGTTCCTATCACAGTCCCCGGCTAGTAGGTACTCAGATAACATTGGTCAAGTGATTGAAGTCTTCCTGGAGGGGGTGGATTCCAGGCTGGACTTTGCAGGGTGGCTAGGATTGGGGGAGGCAGGAAGGAGGCATATTAGGAAGCGATACCATCGGGGCATGTGTGCTTCTTGAGACAACCGCTCCTGCTCAGGGAAGTTCAATTCACCACAAAAGAGTTAACTGAGACGCAGCTGCAATGCAAGGGCTGCTCCACGTTTACATAGAGGAGATCGGAAGGTCCAGCATGAGGGTGACGGGAGTGTCAGGGAGACCAGGCCATCCTTAGCCTTTGCTATTGTTCCCGTGGAGATGTTCTCAGTGATAAGAGCCTGTGGAGTGAGGAGGTGGCACTGGGCTGGGGACAAAGACAGCAACAGCCAGGGCGCATGGAGTGGGTTGGTAGCCTGGGCTCTAGCTGGGAGGGTCTGGGGGAACAGAGCTTATCTTTTGAATCCTGCTGGGCACTGGTGGACTTTGGGGAATGGCCTGCTTGAGTCATGGCCAAGTGGTAGGTGACAAACCAGACATCCTCTGAGTCCTTCCCAGCTCTGCTTCCTATAACCAGTGTGGGTGTCCCTCCCTGTCCAGGTGATGGTGTGGAACTTCGGAGGTGGTATGGTGGTGGGCGGGGCCTCAACCTATGATGGCCTGGCCCTCTCCGCCCATGAGAACGTGGTGGTGGTGGCCATTCAGTACCGTCTGGGCATCGTGGGGTTCTTCAGGTAAGACATTGGACTGTCCTCCCTGCATTGAGGTCCCAAAGTGAGGGTACTAGGACCCAGGTCCGGTCATGTCAGCCCTCAGGAGACCTTTGCTAAGTCCCTTATAAAAGGCATCCTAGTCTCTTCATAACTGGACCCCCTTACTTTCTCATTACTCAGCCACACAAATCTACTTGCTTCTGAGCTTTTGCTTATGCTATAATCTCTGCCTGGAATGCCCACTCTACCTGGCAAACTGCTATTCATCCTGCAACGCCCAGCCCACATGTGGCCTCCTCTCGTCTCCTTTTCACCTGTGCTGCCCTAGCATACTACACATTTTGCCATCAAGCTTTTCACAGCAATGGAAGGTTCAGACAACTTCCTTTTCTTGCAAAAGGAAGGGAGGGGCAGACTCGCAGAGGGTGCTCAGCAAATGCTTGTGGGAGAAGGCATGGGTGGCTGGAGACGGGAGGTCATCAGGACATCTGAGCCCAGGGAGCCACCCTCCCTGGAGGAGTGTCGGGGCGCACTCACCCCATATCTTGCTAGAAATCTGGCACATGCAGCAGTCAAGACTAGAGACTTCTTGTGGGGACAGGAAGCAGGTTTCCTTCCGGGCACGTGACTGTGAGCCTTTTCTCAGTGCACCTGACCCAGAACATCTGACCCCAGGTGTGACAGGCGGGTGTGGAGGACCCGCTCACTCCTGGGAAGACCCAGGGAGCAGGAGGACGGCTCTGCCGGGCCTGCCAGTGGGTGTCCCGGGCCAGTCACCGAGGTTTCGCCTTCCTCGAGACTCCACATCCCTGTCACCCACGGCCCTCGTCCCTGCTGCCCGTTACTGGAAAACTGCTCCGTGTCCTGTCTGCGTTCCCCTCCCCCTGTCTGTCCTCTACTCACGCCAGCCAGTTTCCCCTGACCACGCCGCCAGGCTGTTCCCGCCATGGTCACCTAAGACCTCACCTGTCCTTGGCCCAGCCTTCCCTGAGCTCTCAGCCGCAGCCACACAGGGCCACTGACGCCTCCGTGACAGGCTCGCTGCCCTTGGTGCCTCATCCCACCCCACAGGCTGCTGCTTCTCAGCCCCTTGGTGGGTCCCTCCACGCACCTGTCCTTGGGATTCTGTGTCTCTCCCTCCCCCTCCCTCTCCACTAGTTCCCAGTGATCCCCAGGGCACTGAGAGCCCGTGGTTTGGCCTCCTGTCCTTTAATCCCAGACGCCATCACTCGCTGCCTCCTCTGTCCCCCGGGCTGCCTGAGGCCCCTCGCTCTTCTCATGGACACACTGAGCCACGACTCCCACGCCCTCCCCAGGCAGAGACACCCTGCTTGTCCCAGTGCCCCCGCTCAGCTGCCGAGGCTCCGTCCTCCCAGTTGCCCGGGACACAGGCCTCGAGGGCAGCCTGGACCCTTCTCTCTCCCCACACCCCGCGCGCAGGCGGCTGCGGATCCTCCCACCTCCACCTATGAGATGTGCTCAGAGTCCCGCTGCTTCTCCCCCTCCCTTGCTTCACCCTGGTCAGCCTGTCTGGCTCTGGCCTGGATTGTTATCACGGCCACTCACTGTGTCGCTCTGCGACTTCTGTGCTGCAGCTGATCCACATTCCACATGTAGAGATAAGGCAGAGAGTGAGTCACGTCATTCCTCTGCACAGACCTGCACTGGCTCCCAGGTCACCTGGGGTGACATGCAACACGCTTCCCCAGGCCACAGCGCCCTCCCCAGCTGCCCCTCCTACGTGCACACTGTGCTCGCTGGGCCCCAGGGCCTTTGCACTTGCTGTTTCTTTTGCCTGGAATCGTCTTCTTTGGATATTTGCAAGGTTCATGTGGTCGTTTCATTCAGGCTCCTCCTCAAATGTCACAGCGTCCGAGAGGCCTTCCCTGCTTGTGTGATCTGAAGTAGCACCCACTGCCCACCCCTGCCTTTCCCCTCACCCCATTTTATGTTTCCTCAAAGCACTTTCACTGCCTGGTATTTTATTCTGTGTTTATCTGTGTGTTTGTGGTCTGTACTATGAGTTCAGTGTAAGAAATTTTCCCTGTTTTGTTCTCAGTTGTGCTCTAGCTCCTAGGACAGAATTGGGCACATAGTAGATGCTCAGTAAATCGTGTGGAGATGAGTGAATGTGGAGCCCTACAACGGCACATGCTGGCACTGGCAGGCAGGGGAAGACCCTGTGTCAGGGGTGTGGAAGCCCAGCCTATTCTGGAAGGATCACAGAGAGCCCCCAGCCCCGTCTATAGTCTGAGACCCCTGCCATGGCGTCTGTGCTGCCCACCCCAGCCTGTTCTCTCACAGCACAGGGGACGAACACAGCCGGGGGAACTGGGGCCACTTGGACCAGGTGGCCGCGCTGCGCTGGGTCCAGGACAACATCGCCAACTTTGGAGGGAACCCAGGCTCTGTGACCATCTTTGGAGAGTCAACAGGAGGCGAAAGTGTCTCTGTCCTTGTAAGTGTTCCTGGCACCAGGCCCCACCCCCAGGCTGATGTGGCCACTGATGGGAACTCTTGGAGACCAGCCCACCCAGCCCCGGGCGCCTTTGCTTACATGGCCTGGATTGGGGACAGACCCTCCTCCTTGCCCAGCATCAGGCAGTGGAGAGCTAATGTACAAACTCTCCTTGGCCCGCAGGAAGCTCAAAGCTCAGCTTTATATCCTGGGCCACTAGAATCTCTGGCCCCAGCCTGCACTGGCCGCAGTCCCCCTCTGGCAGCTAGGCTGAGCTCGCTCTCTCCTTCCTCCTCATTTTAACACCAGGATTCAGCTCACCTCCCCTGGGCAGTAGGGGTGGGTATAAATTACACATATGTGGAGACAAGCACAAGAGTTGAACAGAAGTCATTGTTTGGCTTGAAGCCAGATCTACGTGTCCAGGGGACATGAGCACTGAGATCAGGCAAGAACCTCCTCTGAGGTGGTCTGATGTCCCCCCACACCCAAGAGGGAGGCAGCCATGTCTAGATGAGGTACCAGGTGGGCTGGGGGAGGACATGAGGACACTAGGACGATGGAGCGCAGGATGGGGAGGGAGGGGACAGGGGATGTGGGGCACAGACACAGCCTGTGGCACGAGATGTCCTGCCAGTGTGGGGCTGGGACTGGGGTGGTACTGAGGGCAGCTGGGATGGGAAACCCGGTTGGAAGGTGCTGGGAGCTGTGAGGAGCCTCCAGGGGCCTTGGAGTTGAGCCGAGGGTCAGCCCATTGCTGTGTTTTTCAATCCTGTCGATTTCCTACTTGAACACTCCGGGGAAAATGCTTTTGTATTTTTAAATTAGAGAGAAAGGAACAATGTGGATCAGCCCAAAGAAGAAAAAAACTATCTACAATCCCCTCCCTAGAGGTTGTCACTGTGGCTATTTTGACATGTAGTTTTGTAGTCTTTTGTCATGATTCTATCCATCTATCTATCATATATTTTTTTTTTTCCAAAGGCTTTTTCTTTCTATCACACTATAACCAACATTAAACCCTCTTCCATAATATAACCTTCTAGAATTGCATAGTATTCCATGGTAAAAATGGAGCATGGGGCGGGCCATGTACAATGGCTGTCCTCCTATCACTCTGGGAGGCAGAGGTGGGAGGATCACTTGAGGCCCAGAGTTCAAGATGAGCCGAGCGAGGCCCCATTTCCGCAAAAAACAAAATAATTAGCCGGGTGTGGTGACATGCACCTGTAGTCCCAGCTACTTGGAGGCTGGGGTGGGAGGATAACGAGCACAGGCGTTGGAGGCTGTAATGGTGCCACTGTACTCCAGCCAGGGTGACAGAGCTTTCAAAAAAATAAAAATCACTGATTTACCCAGTCTCATAGTATGGGATCCTCAGGTTATTTCTAATTCTATAACCAGCACGGGCACCCTCAGAAGTCTTCCTGTGCCTCCCTGGTCACTTTTCTTCTGCGTAGTGGAAATGCTGAACCAGACCGTGTGCCCGGGCGTTGCCACGCTGTCTTTCTGGTGCTTTGACTGCTGTGATCTGTGCGGGCCACACTCTCCTGTTCCGTCCCCGGGTCTGTGCTCTGGCTCCATCCCGCTGAGGTTCTCTGGGGGAGGCAGGGCCCAGGGGGAGGCTGGGAAACAGGCCAGGCCAGGTGAGGAGCCCTCCTGCCCTCTGAGCCCCAGGGCAGAGCTGTGGGTGGACCCTGCCCTGAGCATGAACTCTCCTCCTGTCCTCGCCCCTCCCAGGTTTTATCTCCTCTGGCCAAGAACCTCTTCCACCGGGCCATTTCTGAGAGTGGTGTGGCCCTCACTGCTACTCTGGTCCAGAGTGGTGACATGAAGCCCCTGGCAGAGGTAGGTCTCTCACAGGACGCTCCCACACCCTTGGCTCTGCACTCTTGCTGTGGGATCCAGAGGATATTCTCAAAGAGTCACTAAAGTGACAGTGGCTGAGTGGAAAGGACAAAGAGACCCCTTGCTCAACCTCCCAACTTTACAGCCAAGCATACTGGGCCAATCATGGAAGCCAAGTGCCAAGGTCCACAGGGTGGGGACATTGGCAAGGGCCTTGCTTCACAGGACCCTGGGGAGGATTTTGTTTATCTGGAGAGTGCTGGGAAGACAGGAAGGGGTGACCACAGGGTGGCGCTGCTGAGCAGGGCCTACTGGAGCCAGGGGGGTGCAGGGTCTGGATGGGGCTGTGGCAGCTGGTTTGGGGCAGCTCAGACTTCAGGGGCTGATTAGCAGGTGGGGAGGAAATGGAGACGCCAAGGATTTGTTTTAGAATTTTTGAGAATTTTTTCAGAATGCATTGGTTACAAGCAACAGGTGGTCACTGGGCAGGCTTGAGTCAAGAAGGGGAATTTTTTTTTAGGGAAGCAGAGGAGGCAGGGGTGAGGCTGGGCTTTGTGAACAAGCAGGAGCTAGAAATTGCAAAGTGAAGGGAGTCCAGGTCTCTCTGACTCTTGGTCTTCTCTCCCGCTCTCCCTCCCTCTTCACCCCTTGTCCCTCCTCCTGTTGGTTTATTCACCAAGTGGGTTCTGAGCAGGGACTCTGCAGCAGACACTGTCCAGGCTCTGGGACCCTGCGCACTCCCCACGGCCCTGCCACCACCGAGCCTGTCTTAGGTGCCTTCCTCTCTGGCTGAGCTTTGCTGTCAGTTCCTGTGACCAGCCCCCCTGGCCCTGGGCTTGGGGACTGCCCTGTGGTTCCAGAAACTTTTTCCCCTGTTTTGGAAAACGCTCAGGTCTACACTCGCAGCTCTCCACCCCATCCCAGATCACTTAGGAGAGAGGCTCACGGCCCCGGCTTTGCCGAGATCCCCCTCTTGGTGCATCAAATGGGGCCTCTCAGAAAAGCCCGGGTGCCGGTGTGCAGGGCAAACCTTCCCCGGTGCCCAAGACAGGCTCAGGGGGCCTCTCCTCCAGGAGGGTTTTCTTCCTGATTTTTTTAAGACCAGAAGAGGGATGGGGTCAGGGGGTCTCCATGCATTAACAGGTGCTCCTTGGTGGTTTTGTCTGAGGACACAGGACAACACATCTGAGCCTACGTTTGTATGGTCCTTGGGCTAAGAATGACTTTTTGATGTTTAAATAATTAAAAAGAAGAAGAATATTTCAAGACCTGTTACAATTATATGAAATTCACATTTCAGCGTCCATAATGAAAGTTTCACTGGAACAGAGAGAAACACATTTAATTTTCTTCAGTAGCAGAGTGGAGACGGTGCAGCAGAGTCACGTGGCCCTCAAAGCCTCAGATGTGACTGTGTGTCCCTTTGATGACAATGTCTGCCCCCTGCCCTGCACAGTCACATGTGGTTGTTGCTCAGGACTCCAGCACGTGACTGCGCAGGTGGAAACTCTTAGCTGTGCCGCAGACGCCTCACTCGCTGAGAAGCTCCATCCACACCTCAGGACGGGCACGAGATCTTTTCCTTTAGGGCTCCCGTTTAGCTCACATGCCATACTTCCTGACGTTCCTTGGTGCGAATCACCTTATCTAGGCCTCCTGCAGTTCTGCACATGTTTCGTGTGTGGGAGACACGGTAGCCTCCTATGTTCTTCCCATGTATTAGCTCATCTCATAAGGTATAAGATCATCATGGAGAAACCAAGGCACAAAGAACTCAAGTGGTTTGTCCTTGGCAAAATGGCCAGTACATGCAAAAGCCGGACTTGGAAACCAGATGGTGGGTTTTGGGTTTCCATACCCTTAATTCCCCTCTTGAGACGCTCACCTTTGAGATCATTATGCCTATTTTAGCAGAGCTAAGGTAACAGACAGAGGGAGTATGGGCTGATCACTCACATCACAGTTCAGATTAGGCACAGAGGCGGCACTCTGTGGGCCCCAGAACCCACACGTCTGGTCTAGAGTACTTTCTGCTCCCCCTGTTGCCTCAGAAATGGGGCTGGGGACAGAACACCTCTTTCTACCTTGACAGAGGGAAGGGACATTGCTCTTGAGCTCTTGTTGCCTGTGGTCTTTGCAGAAAGTTGCTATCGCTGCTGGGTGTAAAACCAGCAGCTCGGCTGTCATGGTTCACTGCCTGCGCCAGAAGACAGAGGAGGAGATCTTGGAGGCCACAAGGAAAATGGTAGGTAGGTCCGTTCTAGGCCCCCAGCTTGTAGTCATGGCCCCAGGCTTCATCTTTACGGCTGTCCTCTTGCCCTGAAAAAAACTCCCTGGGACAGTTTTTCACCTCTCAGGAGCATCTGGGTCTGAATTGGGAATTTTCTTTTTCCTTTTTTATTGTAGCATATCTCAGATATCAGAAGTCCAAAAATAACATGGTGGAAAATTACATAATAATCCCTCAGTTTTATCAAAACTTAGTATTTTGCCATTCTTGTTTTGGATGTGCCTTAAAGAAATTAAATATTACATATTCTCAGGGAGAACCAAAATGCTAAATTTTTGGGAATGAGGGTATCAAGCACAAAGATTTTCAAAGTTATGTCACAATTTATCTTTGTTGATGTGAAAACTATCTAATGCTAACCCAGTGGTGGCCCAATTTTCTAGATTTTCTGAGACTGTGACCCAGTTGTGAACCTAGGTAGCCATTTATCCACCTATTCATTCACCTGTCCCTCCATCCATCCATCCACACATCTTATGATTCATCTATCCATCCACTAATCTATCCAATTCATCAGTATCTTTTTATCAATCCAAATCAATCCATTCATAACTTTTCGTTCATCTATTTTCAATCCATCCATCATACAAATATTATGCAGCCAACTCATATCTTCACTAAATCAACCATTCCTCCAAAATCAATGATCCATCCATCACCTACCTGGTCATTGTCATCCATCTATGCATGTAGTCATCCAGTTCTCCCATATTCTAAGTATTAACAAACTCCATCCATCCATCCATCCATCCATCCATCCATCCATCCATCCATCCATCCCTCCCTTCATCCATTTGTCCTTCCATCCATCCATTTATCTGTCCATCCATCTATCCATCCATCCATGCTAACTGAATGGGGGGAGGGTAGGAGAAGTGATGCAAACATGAATTGGACATAGAACCTGCTCGCAAGTAACTGGCCATATAGTTAGTGGGTTGAGTACGGTGAGAGCAGGGATGCGTCACAGAGAAGGTGACATTTGAGGATTGATGGATGGCTGTGGCAGTCACCTGTCATCACAGGGAAGCTCGGTGGGGTAAACTCCTGGAGAATACAGCATCTAGAGCCAACAGGAGCTATTATCTTGGGGGTGGGGGGTGTGAGTCGTGAGGTCAGGAGTAGCCTGAGGCCTGGACCCTGGGCACCTGGGGATACTCCTGGACCCCAGGGCATGACCCTAGCACTGGGCTCTGCCTGCGTGTCTGTGGGCTTGGGTCCAGGTTCATCAGACTAATATGGAGAACAAAAATGTTTAAACAATTAAAACACAACTGGTTCTAATGTCTGGAAATAGGCAAATATTTCAGTTATTCTCCATGTACCATAAGAGGACCCAGCTTATAGGGAAATAGCTGGTGACTTTGGCAAAATTCAGACCTATGGTCCCAGGACACCCTCTTCAGACTTTCTGAGATCTTATGACAGCACTTGCATGATGATCCCCAACTCACACACACACACACACACACACTCACACACACACACAACTCACACACACACAGACACACACAACTCACACACACACAACTCTCTCTCTCACACACACACACACACACACACAACTCACACACACACAACTCTCACACACACACTGTTGGCTGGTGGGGCTACAAGCCCACAATGGAGGAACCCTTTCTGGTCACTTCCTGCATACAGGGCAGACCTGTTAGCTATAGTGTAACATTACAGTCACTGCAAGCTTGGTGAACACACACCAAAGAGAAGCATCACGGAGCTTGTAGGAGTCAGGACTTTCTAGTGCAAGATGAGAAAGCCCCTCTCAAATTGCCTTGAGCAGAAAAAGGAAAGTGTTGCAACAGAATCCTTAAGTTATTGAAAAGTCCAAGAGCAGATAGCTTCAGGCATGGCTGGATCCAGATGCTCATGGGATATTATTGACAATCTACCTGTCTCTATCCCTCCATTTTGCACTCCTCTGTGTTGGCTTCACTCTCAGGCAGATTTGCCCCCTGGGGAGATTTAAGACAACAGCACTCTGACTTATACCCTACCTGCTTAGAAACTCTTTCCCAATAGTTCTAGCAAAAGTTTTGGGGTACACTTTCTTGGACTGACATGGGCAAGTGCCCATCCCTGAAATAACACCTATGTCCAGGGAGATAGAACAGCCAAGGTTGAATATAAATGCCTGAATCTATGGAGAGACAGAGGATAAGTGGGAGGTCCTCCAAAGGAAAATTGGGGTGTTGTTGCCAGGGGAACAAGAAGGGGAAATGGGTGGCAGGCAGTGCAGTCACCAATGGCCGACTTTCTCTCCAGAGCTCCAGCCACCCTGGCCAGGGTCCCAGGGGCCTGTCCTTCCCTTGCTGGTGCCTGGCCCTCCCCCACTGACACCTAAACCCTATGCTCATGCCCGTGGAGCCTCTGTCCTGCCCACTTCTTCTTGGCCCTGCCAGGGTGGCACCAGGAGGGAGAACCTGACACCTCTGCTGCAGCCACAGGGATCAGCTTTCTCCCGGGAAGCTTCTCACCACATCCTCTGCCTTTGTCTTCACAGAAATTTCTTCAGATCGATTTACAGGGAGACCCCAGGGAGGTAAGGACCCTTGGTTTCTTGATTACACGTTTTGAGTCTTAACACCTTTAAGCTCCATTTGACTCTGAATGAATGAATTCTCCCTTGTGGAACCCTCATAACTCCTCATTTATATGGTGCTGAGGCCCAGAGAGGGGCAGTGACTTGCCTGGGGTAACACAGCTAGAGGACCAGAGGCGGGACTGGAACCCATTACCCAGACTCATAGTCCAGTGCTCCCAGGAATCAAGTCTGACTCCCTGGGCTCCCCCACCCCCCTTCTTATTCACGTTTCCTCTGCCCAACATGGCCCTGAGAGGAGGCTGGACCAGAGCCTCCCACTGTGAGGGTCAGAGGTCACAGGAGCCTTCCCTGAGGGGTGCAGATCCCCTGGGAGGCCACAGGTTGATCTGTACAGGGGGAGCCTGGAATCTCAGGCCTGAGGACCCTCCCTCCTCCCAGTACACAAGCCACCCCAGTAGTGTCCTCCCCATCTCCTGCTGTCTCCCCAACAAGTTGCTGGGGTCTGCTGACATCACCTGTGCAGCATCTTACAGTCCTGGCCTCTCTGATCCCCCCGGAGATCACAGCACTTTCCCCTTAACAGGTTTGTGGGGACTGAATGAGAGGCACGCAGCCAATCAGCTCAGGCTTTGTAAGCACTGCCACGTGCCAGGCCCTGACTCGGGAGCTGGGGACACAGCAGTGAAACACACAAGGTTCCTGCCCCTTACAGTCGTCCAGTCCAGTGGGGGTGGTGTACAAAATACGTAGTGTGTTGGTGATGGGCGGTGTTTAGGGACGGCGTTCACCAGCGGTTGGAACGCACGTGGCAGGGTCAGGGAAGGGCTGATGGGAAGGTGGCATCTGACCAGGCTCGGAGGAGGGAAGGCAGCTGTGAGGGAAAGTGGAGGAGCCGTCCGGGCAGAGGGATGGCTGCTGCGCTGGTCCTCGCTGAGGCAGGAGGCGGGTCTGCAGGGCTGGAGAGGAAGGAGTCAGGGCACAGACGGGCTGGGGGCTCAAGAGGTCGTTGGAGGTGGGGGTGGGGTGGGGGTGGTCACTTGAAGGATTTGGACTTGGATTTGGAGTGAGAGGGGAGGCTTCGGAGGGTTTTGAGCAGAGGAGAGATGTGATCATGGGTTTTACAAAGGTCTCTGTCTGCTGTGTCGAAAATAGACTGTTGGGAAGGTCCTGGAAGGTGCAGAGAGACCAGCTGGGAAGCCGCTTTCCTGGAACCATCCAGGCCGAGATGAGGCTGAGATGATGCCACAGCAGTGGGGTGGGGGTGGCTGGAATCTGGACAACATGAAGGACTGGCTGACAGGAGGTGCTGACGGACAGCACGTGGGGGGGCGAGAAAGATGGGAGTGAAGGATGCCCCGAGCTCCCTGCCCAAGCAAGGTCATACACGTGGCCCACACGGGTCACCACGTGCAGCCACCCAGTGGATGGTATAATCGCTGTCACTGTCACTGCTGCTGATGCCAGTCTTCCCCCGTGGGTGCCGCCCCACTCAGGCCTTCGTTGTCTCTCTCCTGGACTTTACTATCTTCCGCCCCCACTTTTCTTCCAGTGCTGAGTCCCACGGTGCTGCCAGACTTACCCTCCTAAACACACACTAGCGCGTGTCTCCCCTTCTTCTTAAAAGCCTCACCTTTCTGACCAGAGCTGCCCCCACCCCCATGGAGTTAGTACTTCCAAACCGAGCTGAGAGCCTGCTGTGTGCTGGACGTCGTGCAAAAAGTGAGCTCCGCCACCTGACCCTCTCTCTGGTCCCTGCCCTGCGGCCATCCCTGCAAGCCCAGGACTCACTGGAGCTCCTGGTATTAGCCCTGCACAGGGACGCCTCTGTCCCTTTGCTCATGCCATTCCCACTGTTTGGAAATTCTCAGCCCATCCTCCCCTCTCATTCCCATTCCTCACCCAGAGCCCACCGCAGGTGGTGAGCACCCCTCCCGCGTGGCCTGCCCTGTTCCGTCCTTCCCTACGCGGTGCTCCCTTGCCAGCTTCCCACGCAGCCCTCTGCTCCGTGTGGCCTCTCCCGGCAGCCCTAGTTGGACCCTGCCCCTGGTCTCTGGTGTCAGCCGTGTGGGATTAGGATTCGGGCTCGTGCCGCTGGGTCTGGTTCACTTTGCAGAACTCCTTTGGGCAGCCGGACTGGCCTGTCCCTCACTGGCCCTGGCAGAGCAGGACACCACAGGGTCTCAGCACCTAGGAGTCGCCCGGTTCCGTGTGACGTCCAGGCACAGGGCTGTGCCCGTGGACTGGAGCTGGAAATCGCGCCTAGGCCGGCGTCTGTGTGAGGGGTCTGTTGTGACACTGCGAATTGGTAAAATCTAATACTCGTTGAGACTTTCCCAGGTCCCAGGCGCTGTGCTGAGTGTAATAGTTTGTGCGTGTTCAGCCGTTTACCTCACAGCATCCCATCTCATAGACGAGAAAATGGAGGCACGAACAGGGGAAACTACTTTCCCAAGTGACTGGCCAGGAAGCAGCAGGCAGGTTCCAGTCCAGGTAGGAGTCTGGTTCTGCGCGCGCTGCGCGGCCGCGCCCCCACATACAATCTTTCATCAAAGGTGGAAGCTAAAATCGAAACACTCATCAATGTAATGTGAGCCCACCCCTGATTATTATTATTATTATTATTCTGAGACAAAGTCTCACCGTTTCGAAGGCTGCCCTGCAGTGGCACAATCATAGCTCACTGCAGCCTCAAACTCCCGGGCTCCAGTGACCCTCCTGCCTCAGCCTTCTGAGCAGCTGGGACTACAGGTGGGCACCACCATGCCCAGTGAATTTTTTTTATTCTTTGTAGAGATAAGGCCCCACTATGTTGCCCAGGCCGGTCTCTAACTCGCGGCCTCAAGCAGTCCTCTGCCCTGCGCCTCCCAAACTGCGGGGGTTACAGGCGTGAGCCACACCCCTGCACCTGATCCTTTACCCACGGTGTTCCTCCCTAACCGGGCGTCGAGTCCCAGTCTGGGCACACTGAGAGGTGAGAGCTCAACACCTCTTGAAAGCAAAGCGTTTAAATGTAGATAGGTGGATACCGTCTGTCCTCATTAATCATGATTCTGTATTTGTAAATTCACCTACGTGCTAAGATTTATTTTTAACCCCCAAGTGAATACCCGCAGCACTTCTGTGTCATTCACAGACGCGTGCAGAGTGGCAGGAAGTTTGGCTCGGGTGACGTGCATTGAGATGAGACGAGACAGCGCTGTCTTCTCCCTCTCGTGCTGACAGGGGTCCTTTCCGCGGTCGCTGAGCGCCTTAGTTTCTGCGTTTCGGTTCTTCGTGTTAGAGTCCACCGTCCCAGGCGGCCCCAAGATCGCACTGCCTGCGGCTCCGCTCGTGCTGGCTGTGCGTGCGCGGCAGCACGGCGGTGGCTGGGGTGGCCGTTCTGAGGCCGCAGGACGAGAGGCAGTGAGCGCTGCGAGTTCAGGGGCGACAGGGCGACAGCACGGCGCGTCCAGAAAAAGGAAGGGGAAGTTTTCGATCCATACATGAGGCCATTCTAGAAAGTGCTGAAGTAACACCTGTAGTGTGTGATGAAGCTGTGGGAAGGATGGAAAAGCAGCTAAATTAATGCATTCATGAGGCGACAAAGGCGTTCATAAAGAGCACAGTGGACAGCACACCGTGAGGCTGAAAGCCAGAGAAACTCGCAGTCACATTACCCTGGGCCAGGCCACAGTGAAGCCCGTCGCAGCTGGTGTTTTAGCACAAATAATTACTAAGTATAACGAAGTCCTTGTAAGAAATATCTATTACATAAAATACCTTTAAATAGAAATCCACACGTAAAGTAAGGTTGACCAAATGATGCGGGCAGAGGCTCTGAGGAACCCACGCCTCCACTTCCCTGCAAGTAACGACTCAGTATTCGCTAACTCAGCATCCAGACCAATGTCATAGAACATCGCTACCATGTAGCAAGAGTCACCTGCACACAGAGACGCACACTTCAAATTGAAGTACATATGATGTAGGAACATAATACATGGATTTTGGTTTGCATTGAGATCAGCCCCCCAACTCCCATCACCTTCCCACTGCCGGCCCCTGGCTGAAGTTCTACCCTCTGGGGACACACAGACTTTGCTGCCTTTATCAGGACCCCGAGCTTCTGTGGCCACTGCCCGGGGCCACGCAGGTCCACGTGCTGCCCTGGCGCTCAGACAGGCAGAGGGGGACGGGGCTGTTGTCGGGGAGGGGGAGGCTCACACGCTGCCCTGCTCTCTTCCCCAGAGCCATCCATACCTGCCCACCGTGGTGGATGGAGTCGTGCTGCCCAAATCCCCTGAGGAGATCCTGGCTGAGAAGAGTTTCAATGCTGTACCCTACATTGTTGGCATCAACAAGCGAGAGTTTGGCTGGCTTCTTCCAATGGTGAGCACGTGCCGCCTCTTAGGCAGATTCTCTGCTCTCCCCATCAGCCCTCCCAGCTCTGGCCGCAGACGCCCTTCCTTCTCCAAGCCCCGATCTGAGTCCAGGACAGCTGTCCCCTTCCTCACGAGTTGTCATTCCCATGGAAACCTTCTCTGGGTTGACCCTGTTGTCACCCGAATGGCATGGCCCTGGGAGCCCCTCTCCCCACACTCTTTGATCGTCTTGCAATGAAAGAATCCTGTGGTGTCCATGCTGGAAGGGCTTGTGGAGGTAAAGGTTGTGCAGATGGGAAACACAGGAACCTGGAATGGTGAAGGAGCTCGGGCGTTGAAGCGAGTCGGGCCTGGGCGGGCGGCTTCTCACCTTGGGCCTGGTGTGCAGTTTCCCATAAATCTCCACACACGTGCTCAGTCATCTCTCTGGAGAGACTCAGAGCAAGTTGGTTCTCCTTGAGTTAAGATTGACTCTAAATGTGCAGAAGGACTTTCCTTCTTATCCAAGACAGACAAAGCCAACCCCAGTTAGAGCAGTGGGGCAGGTTTGATTCAGTAACACTATTGCAATAGGGAATTGTCCAGTGTGGACGGGCCTCAAATCCCTGAAACAAAGGCCGGAGATGTCCTAAAGCCCGGGCTGTGCTGAGGGAAAGCGTCGTTGGGTGCGGAGTTGGGTGGTCAGTCTGTGAGGCCAGACCACCTGGGCGTGTGAGTCCACCTTTACCTGGAGGAGAGACAGGAGGCAGTGGTGTGGATGAAGTGAGGGCGTAATCTCTGCACAGGACTTGGAGGGAGACCCAGGGTCACAACTGTCATGTCCTTGAGGAAAGAGTTTGGGTGGTAGATTTGCATCCTGAAGGGCAGAGAAAGGCCTTATAATTGCAAGCTTTCTGAAGGAACTGCTCTGGGAAGGGCTCAGGGGCCTCTGCCTGTCCCCAGGTTTTGGCTGCAGCAAAGAGTAAGTTCTCCTGGCAGGTGGAGCTTTCTCAGGCAGGTATTGTAAGGGGGCTGGGGCCACTGTAGGGGCCATTGACCTTACGCTGCTAGGAGACCTGCTAGGGCTCGAGGGAGTCTCTGGGTGCAGAGATTTGGACAGAGTTGTTATGTGCTGAGAGTTCTGCAGTTCTCCCTTCAGAAGGATATCAGAGGTTATGCCAAAGACCAAAGCCGTGATGGCAGGATTTGGGACTTTCTATGTCATCTGTGACAGGTTGGGTATTTGAGAGGTCTGAGTCACCTGCCCCAGAGCCCTTGAGTTCAACACTAGCCCGGCTACAGCTTCCCTCTCTGCCTCACTGCCCACTGTGGGGGTTCTAGCCTGATGCACACACACACCACACATACACACCCCCCTCCACATACACATACATAGCCACAAATACACACACACACACACCCACACACACAAACAGAAAAAAAAACTGGCACAGCTTCTGCCAAACTTATTTTAATCCTTTTTGCAATCCTTGAGTTGAATGCAAGTCCACTTGATTCATTGATTTTGCCAAATTCATTAAAGTCCCATGCTTTTTCAAGGCCCAAGAGAATAAGAAGAGATTCAGTCTGTGTCGGATTGGTTGGTTGGTGAGGTTGGCTGTTGTTCATTCCCAGTGATTCACAAATACTTAATCATTTTTTTTTTACAGTTGATGGGCTATCCGCTTTCTGAAGACAAGCTAGACCAGAAGACGGCCACGTTTCTCTTGTGGAAGTCCTACCCCCTTACTGTAAGAGTCTAGGAATCCTGGGAATTGGGTTAGACCCAAAGAGGGGGCAGGGACTTGTCCCAAAGCACAGATAAATTAAATTATAGAATGGAGACTGGGGCTTGAGGGTCCTGCCCCCATTTTTCTACCTTCCTCACTTGATCATCCTGCGGGTGGGTGGGGGGAGCTGCCCAGGGCGGGAGAGGTTCTCCATCAGTGCCAGCCTCGCCCACTGGCCACAGAAGCTGCACTGCTCACCAGGGGCACATGGGCACTGTCTTGGTCTATTTCAGGGCATCCCTGAGGAGCTGACTTCAGTAGCTATCAAGGAATATTTAGGAGGAACAGACGACCCTGTCAAAAAGAAAGACCGGTTCCTGGACTTGATGGCAGATGTCATGTTTTGTGTCCCAGCTGTGATTGTGGCCCGGCAACACAGAGGTGAGTCCCAGAGGCTAGACAGGAGAGGAACACTGACTCCAACTGTCCAGTGTCTGACCTGCCCACCTCCCAGTGTAGACAGATGTGGACACTGCCGAGGGTCAGGCTTCACAGGCGGGTTCCATATGGCATGGGGTGTGGTACGCTATTTGGGTATTTGCCTGTAGCCGACTCTCAGAAAATGGCCCAAATGCATGTAGTTTATTGGTCAGGGGATCCCAGGAAGCAGCAGCAGGGAGGTGGGGGAGTGTCAGAGGGAAGAGGTGGAAGACAACCGTGATGCATTGCCAAGCACGTGCCCACTGTGCACAGCTGGAGCTGGGAGCTCTGGGAAACAAGCAGGGGACACGGCTCAGGGTTGTCCCTCCTGAGCAGGGGAAGCTGGGGTATTCATCCACCGGCTCTCAGTTGTCATTGGTTCAAGGCTGTTCCAAGTGGAGTTGTTAATTCCCTGGTACTGTGACCTGCTGCACACATGGGCAAAGTAATCTCTGGTGGCCCAACAAGGGCTGGTGGTGGCTGTCAAGCTGGCAGGCCCAGAACTAGGACATGTAGGTGCTGTGGGTGAGGCACCAACAGCGTCTGCTACCAGGGCTTCCTACCGGGGATGATGGTGGGGTGTGGGGCTAGAGGACAAATACTGGAAGACGGGTCTCAGACGGTTTCCAAGGTCAGAGCTGGCTGCAAACTAGTTTCCTAACTGGTGGGGCTGGGGGCAGAGCAGAGACAAGTACAGGATGAAGAGGGTTGTCCAAGGCTGACCAAGAGGCCAAATAGAGGGAGCGGTAGTAGATTTGGGTGTCTGGAGAATGACAATGTCTGGGACTGGCTTTGTCTGTCTCAGTGTGTGCCAGGATGGACAAGCAGAGGGCCAGGGTGGCGTCTACCATGGGACTTTCTGACGCTGACCTGAGGCTGTGTGGGTGGGTGTGAGCTTAGGTGAGCATGAGCTCACCTAGAGGGGAGGTGTCCTCCCTTGGGTGCCATCCACATACAATCTTTCATCAAAGGTGGAAGCTAAAATCGAAACACTCATCAATGTAATGTGAGCCCACCCCTGATTATTATTATTATTATTATTCTGAGACAAAGTCTCACCGTTTCGAAGGCTGCCCTGCAGTGGCACAATCATAGCTCACTGCAGCCTCAAACTCCCGGGCTCCAGTGACCCTCCTGCCTCAGCCTTCTGAGCAGCTGGGACTACAGGTGGGCACCACCATGCCCAGTGAATTTTTTTTATTCTTTGTAGAGATAAGGCCCCACTATGTTGCCCAGGCCGGTCTCTAACTCGCGGCCTCAAGCAGTCCTCTGCCCTGCGCCTCCCAAACTGCGGGGGTTACAGGCGTGAGCCACACCCCTGCACCTGATCCTTTACCCACGGTGTTCCTCCCTAACCGGGCGTCGAGTCCCAGTCTGGGCACACTGAGAGGTGAGAGCTCAACACCTCTTGAAAGCAAAGCGTTTAAATGTAGATAGGTGGATACCGTCTGTCCTCATTAATCATGATTCTGTATTTGTAAATTCACCTACGTGCTAAGATTTATTTTTAACCCCCAAGTGAATACCCGCAGCACTTCTGTGTCATTCACAGACGCGTGCAGAGTGGCAGGAAGTTTGGCTCGGGTGACGTGCATTGAGATGAGACGAGACAGCGCTGTCTTCTCCCTCTCGTGCTGACAGGGGTCCTTTCCGCGGTCGCTGAGCGCCTTAGTTTCTGCGTTTCGGTTCTTCGTGTTAGAGTCCACCGTCCCAGGCGGCCCCAAGATCGCACTGCCTGCGGCTCCGCTCGTGCTGGCTGTGCGTGCGCGGCAGCACGGCGGTGGCTGGGGTGGCCGTTCTGAGGCCGCGGGACGAGAGGCAGTGCGCGCTGCGAGTTCAGGGGCGACAGGGCGACAGCACGGCGGGTCCAGAAAAAGGAAGGGGAAGTTTTCGATCCATACATGAGGCCATTCTAGAAAGTGCTGAAGTAACACCTGTAGTGTGTGATGAAGCTATGGGAAGGATGGAAAAGCAGCTAAATTAATGCATTCATGAGGCGACAAAGGCGTTCATAAAGAGCACAGTGGACAGCACACCGTGAGGCTGAAAGCCAGAGAAACTCGCAGTCACATTACCCTGGGCCAGGCCACAGTGAAGCCCGTCGCAGCTGGTGTTTTAGCACAAATAATTACTAAGTATAACGAAGTCCTTGTAAGAAATATCTATTACATAAAATACCTTTAAATAGAAATCCACACGTAAAGTAAGGTTGACCAAATGATGCGGGCAGAGGCTCTGAGGAACCCACGCCTACACTTCCCTGCAAGCAACGACTCAGTATTCGCTAACTCAGCATCCGGACCAATGTCATAGAACATCGCTACCATGTAGCAAGAGTCACCTGCAGACAGAGACGCACACTTCAAATTGAAGTACATATGATGTAGGAACATAATACATGGATTTTGGTTTGCATTGAGATCAGCCCCCCAACTCCCATCACCTTCCCACTGCCGGCCCCTGGCTGAAGTTCTACCCTCTGGGGACACACAGACTTTGCTGCCTTTATCAGGACCCCGAGCTTCTGTGGCCACTGCCCGGGGCCACGCAGGTCCACGTGCTGCCCTGGCGCTCAGACAGGCAGAGGGGGACGGGGCTGTTGTCGGGGAGGGGGAGGCTCACACGCTGCCCTGCTCTCTTCCCCAGAGCCATCCATACCTGCCCACCGTGGTGGATGGAGTCGTGCTGCCCAAATCCCCTGAGGAGATCCTGGCTGAGAAGAGTTTCAATGCTGTACCCTACATTGTTGGCATCAACAAGCGAGAGTTTGGCTGGCTTCTTCCAATGGTGAGCACGTGCCGCCTCTTAGGCAGATTCTCTGCTCTCCCCATCAGCCCTCCCAGCTCTGGCCGCAGACGCCCTTCCTTCTCCAAGCCCCGATCTGAGTCCAGGACAGCTGTCCCCTTCCTCACGAGTTGTCATTCCCATGGAAACCTTCTCTGGGTTGACCCTGTTGTCACCCGAATGGCATGGCCCTGGGAGCCCCTCTCCCCACACTCTTTGATCGTCTTGCAATGAAAGAATCCTGTGGTGTCCATGCTGGAAGGGCTTGTGGAGGTAAAGGTTGTGCAGATGGGAAACACAGGAACCTGGAATGGTGAAGGAGCTCGGGCGTTGAAGCGAGTCGGGCCTGGGCGGGCGGCTTCTCACCTTGGGCCTGGTGTGCAGTTTCCCATAAATCTCCACACACGTGCTCAGTCATCTCTCTGGAGAGACTCAGAGCAAGTTGGTTCTCCTTGAGTTAAGATTGACTCTAAATGTGCAGAAGGACTTTCCTTCTTATCCAAGACAGACAAAGCCAACCCCAGTTAGAGCAGTGGGGCAGGTTTGATTCAGTAACACTATTGCAATAGGGAATTGTCCAGTGTGGACGGGCCTCAAATCCCTGAAACAAAGGCCGGAGATGTCCTAAAGCCCGGGCTGTGCTGAGGGAAAGCGTCGTTGGGTGCGGAGTTGGGTGGTCAGTCTGTGAGGCCAGACCACCTGGGCGTGTGAGTCCACCTTTACCTGGAGGAGAGACAGGAGGCAGTGGTGTGGATGAAGTGAGGGCGTAATCTCTGCACAGGACTTGGAGGGAGACCCAGGGTCACAACTGTCATGTCCTTGAGGAAAGAGTTTGGGTGGTAGATTTGCATCCTGAAGGGCAGAGAAAGGCCTTATAATTGCAAGCTTTCTGAAGGAACTGCTCTGGGAAGGGCTCAGGGGCCTCTGCCTGTCCCCAGGTTTTGGCTGCAGCAAAGAGTAAGTTCTCCTGGCAGGTGGAGCTTTCTCAGGCAGGTATTGTAAGGGGGCTGGGGCCACTGTAGGGGCCATTGACCTTACGCTGCTAGGAGACCTGCTAGGGCTCGAGGGAGTCTCTGGGTGCAGAGATTTGGACAGAGTTGTTATGTGCTGAGAGTTCTGCAGTTCTCCCTTCAGAAGGATATCAGAGGTTATGCCAAAGACCAAAGCCGTGATGGCAGGATTTGGGACTTTCTATGTCATCTGTGACAGGTTGGGTATTTGAGAGGTCTGAGTCACCTGCCCCAGAGCCCTTGAGTTCAACACTAGCCCGGCTACAGCTTCCCTCTCTGCCTCACTGCCCACTGTGGGGGTTCTAGCCTGATGCACACACACACCACACATACACACCCCCCTCCACATACACATACATAGCCACAAATACACACACACCCACACACACACACACAAACAGAAAAAAAAAACTGGCACAGCTTCTGCCAAACTTATTTTAATCCTTTTTGCAATCCTTGAGTTGAATGCAAGTCCACTTGATTCATTGATTTTGCCAAATTCATTAAAGTCCCATGCTTTTTCAAGGCCCAAGAGAATAAGAAGAGATTCAGTCTGTGTCGGATTGGTTGGTTGGTGAGGTTGGCTGTTGTTCATTCCCAGTGATTCACAAATACTTAATCATTTTTTTTTTACAGTTGATGGGCTATCCGCTTTCTGAAGACAAGCTAGACCAGAAGACGGCCACGTTTCTCTTGTGGAAGTCCTACCCCCTTACTGTAAGAGTCTAGGAATCCTGGGAATTGGGTTAGACCCAAAGAGGGGGCAGGGACTTGTCCCAAAGCACAGATAAATTAAATTATAGAATGGAGACTGGGGCTTGAGGGTCCTGCCCCCATTTTTCTACCTTCCTCACTTGATCATCCTGCGGGTGGGTGGGGGGAGCTGCCCAGGGCGGGAGAGGTTCTCCATCAGTGCCAGCCTCGCCCACTGGCCACAGAAGCTGCACTGCTCACCAGGGGCACATGGGCACTGTCTTGGTCTATTTCAGGGCATCCCTGAGGAGCTGACTTCAGTAGCTATCAAGGAATATTTAGGAGGAACAGACGACCCTGTCAAAAAGAAAAACCGGTTCCTGGACTTGATGGCAGATGTCATGTTTTGTGTCCCAGCTGTGATTGTGGCCCGACACCACAGAGGTGAGTCCCAGAGGCTAGACAGGAGAGGAA